GTCTCCAATGTGTAGCTGATGACCAGAGCAGGCCTTAGGCAGCAATGAGGGAAGAAAGAACTTGGTGAGAGGAGGTGGTACAGGGGTAGTGGGGGGGATACACTAGCTTTGTCTCCATGACTCACAGTGATAGCCTGTTAGAGCTGTACCCATGGACCCTATAAAAGTGGTGGCTGGATTTAGTCAGACTAGATTATCCCAGGAGTGGAAATTCATGAATAACCCCACAGACAGATGCAATTACCAAGTTACTGATTAATGAGAATTCTCAATAGAACTCTAATTTATAACTGCCACACTTAACCTTCAACCATAATACTCTCCCTTTCTAGTATTTATATGGTCCCCGTCTCACTAAAACATTATATACAAATTTTCAAAACCTACTATGAACAAAGACCTTATAAAAAAAAAAGTAAATGTGGAATTTTGTGATATATATTACAATAAAAATAACAGAATTTAGTCACTGATTGGGTAACTATTGGCATTAACTTGGATAATGGAGATAGACAGTAAGCTTTATCATAACCACAATCCAACAGTTATCCTCTTACTCTCCTGTACTGGCCAATCTCCATCTCCACTGACCTCTTCCTATCAGCTAACCAACTTTTAAGTCTCTTCCATCTTACAAAACAAAACAAAACAAAACAAAAAAACTACTCCTCAGTTCTGTATGTTCTCTTGCCCACTTCTAGCAAACATTCCTCTTTCCCTTTGTCTTCACAAGGAAAGAGTTTCTATATTAGTTCTCATTCTTCTAAGGAGTTTTCTATCACACTTCCTCCCCCTCATTCACTCCCAGCTCACAGCAATCTGAATACAGCTCTCATAATTTCCCTGAAACCACTTTGTCAAAGGTCAACAATAAATAACCACTTTGTAATTATATTCAATGGATATTCAGTTCTTATCTTACTTGAATTTTTTAGTAGCTTTTGATTGGAAACATTTCTTACAGAGGCATTTACCCAATTGCTAACTCACTCCATTTAATCAAGCACAAATGCACTTATTTAACAAATATTCATTGAGTACCTGCTATATGGCAGGCAAAGTTTTAAGCACAAGGAATACATAAATAGACAAAATAAAGTCCCTTTTTCAGTCTAGTGAAGAGAAAACAGACAATAATACATACAGATATGTCACATGGTAATTTAAGCATTAAGAAGAAAAATAATACAGGTTACATGACGCTGATTAAAACAACCCTACTCAACAGAGTTCATATTGACTTCATTTATGATGAGTTCTAGAACAGGGAAAACTAACCTATAGTGGAAAAAAATCAGGATAGCGATTGCTTCAAAACGGGGCTTAAAACCACCTTCTGGAGTGATGGTAATGTTCTGTATCTTAATAAAAACTGAGTTACACAAATGTATGCATTTGTCCAAACTAATCAAAATGGTATATTTAAGACTTTGACTTTTTTTTCTCTGTAAACTTTACCTAAAAATATTTAAACAAATATTGAACTGTAGTTAATGATTTCCAAGCACTTTGAAGTGCTGAGGCACGAAACGTACTGATGTCTGCAACTTACTGGAATGCATTTAAAAACTGGGTAAAGAGATGAAGAGATATGAAATAAAGCAAGTACAGTCAAATGTAATTATAGAATCTGGTAGTGGGTATACGGGTTCTCACTGTAAAACTCTCTATAATTTTCTGTATATGTGTAAATTTTCACCAGAAAATTTGGGGGAAAAATAAGGCAGGGTGAGGGGATGGAGGAAAAAGCTCTTGATTTGAACAGGAGATTAAAGAAAGGCCTCTGGAATGAGTTAACATTAAAAGAGACCTGAGTATGAATATATTTGAGGAATAAAAAAGTTAGAGCAAATGCAAAAGTCCTTAGGGAAGATCATGCTTGACATAACACTAAATGTAATCTCCACTCTAGAATACTCTTCTGCAGTTCTGGAACCATATATAAAACTGCCTCCCTGGTATACGTAACGTGGTAACATGTATCACCTGGATACCCTACAAACACAGAATGCTCTCTCTCACTGTTTTACCCCGAGTCCAAAATACAATAATCATTTCAGTCAAATATACCACTACCCAGCTGCCTAAACACTATGTAGGGGCACAGAGAGATCCAGAACCTATTTTTAATCTCTCTAAAGTAACCCAATACCAATACACTAATCCAATTTTCTGCTGTCCGACACTTTGAATTAGATTTTGACATGCTGAATTTCTTATTTTACCTATGTATCTCTGTATAAAATGAATCAAAATTAAAACTGTGGGGAATAAAGGACTATTTAACAAAAAGCACTTTAAGCAGCAGTTCTCAGGCTGACTGTACATAGGACTTAGACACCTGTGATTTTATTGTGCAGTTAGCTAAATAACTCAGTAAGTTACCCAAGGGAGAAAACAAAGGAACTAAGAAAGACTTTTGAGCAAAGAGGGAAGATGATGCAGGGCTGAAAACTGCTGACTCAGAGGGTTACACAGCCTAGTACTGCCTACCCCAGAAGAATCCACCTTGATTCCACTCTTTTTTCTATTCTTCTACCTCCCCACAACTCATTGCCAAGACCAATCTTAACATCACGCTAGAAGACTAGCATTTGTCTCACTTCAGACTCTATTTCTCCCTAGATTTGTAGCTTTTAATCTTTTTTGACCACAGCTTACAGAGTAAGAAATATATTTTACATAAACATCTTTCTGTGTACTACACTGCTATTTCTCTGTAGATTTTATATACACACACGTGCCAGAAAAACAAACTTTCAGGAAGCAATGCTTACTCTTACTAAACATAACCCACTCCAGTGTTTCCTACTTTAGCCTATATTTATGTATTTCATTATATGTTCAAATGCTGGCAATAACCTATTAATGGGTTACAACCAACAATATGAAAAACACTCATCTAGATTACTGTAAAGTTCTTATACAAAGATCATAAATTGTGGCTACAGGCCTGTGGAAGCATTCATTTGGTGCCCACAGAATTAAGTTTATGTACTTACTGTTTTTAACTAGAATGCTTCTTTCCCTTATTTATAAACCAATCTGGCTGCTATCCTGACTTGTCTCCTCAACTCCTCAGATACTGATACCACTGCAAGAATGATTGTAATAAAATGCAAATAAGATTATGACACTCTCCTGCTTAAAATTCTTTAATGTTCACTCATGGTTTTTAGGAAAAACTCCCAAATCCTTAGCAAGCATACAAAATTCTTCATGGGGCTACTTACTCTTCAGTATTATAGACCCTGCTTCCTCAAACTGTAACATAATACTAATTCCTAGGCTGGGCACGATGGTCATGCCTGTAACCCTAGCACTCTGGGAGGCCGAGGCAGGAGGATCGTTTGAGCTCAGGAGTTCGAGACCAGTCTGAGCAAGAGCAAGATCCCATTTCTACTAAAAATAGAAAGAAATTATCTGGACAACTAAAAAAATATATATAGAAAAAAAAATACTAATTCCTAAATTCAGCATACTCATTTTCATGGATGTTAAAGATATGAATATGCAGTTGGCTCTACTGAGAATGAAACCTTTCACCATTTGTGCCTCAATATTTGTTTTGCTAACTCCTACTCTTCTTTCAGAAATCCACGTAAGTGTCTTTGACCTAAACAAAATATTCTTTGACCTCAACAGCACAGGTTCCTCCGCTTATCCTCCCTCTGCATATATTCCTTCCCACAGCATCCTAAACTTACCTCCAGCATAGCTGCAACTGTACCGTTTAGTCACCGATTGTTTACATATCTTTACCCCCCATTAAACTGTGAGGTTCCTGAGAGAAAGAATAGCTTCTTATATGTCTGTGTCACAGTGACTGACACATGAGAGACTAGAATAAACAACTAAGTTACTAACGACAGGAGACACTGGACAAGAAATTTTTGAGAGGAAAAGGTAAGATAATGTAGGGTCTGAAATGTATGCAGGAAACAGAAGAGGGTATTTCCAGAAAGCAGGTGAAGATAAGCTCAAAGAAAAGTCTGGCCTGGACATACAGATTTAATAGTTAAAATGACAGGAGAGTGCAAGATTTACCAGGGGAAGCACAGGTAGGAAAAGATCAAAGGCTGAAACTATGATTAAGCATTGGGCAAAATCAGAAGAGCCAATAAAAAGAACCGAGGGAAAAAAGTTTCAAAAGTAAGAAAGAGGTACAAACCTGGTGACTGCGATGGGAAAATGAGGGCAATAATTAGAGACCTATATAAGTGCAGTTTCAACAGATGCGAGGGCTGACATTCTGACTACTCTTAAGCTGTGTTGGAAAGCAGTGTCCATGCTTTTATTACAGCACTTTCAAATTTTATTGTACATAGTATAGATGTTTACAAGTCTGAATCAGTAAATAAGCTTCTTGAAGGCAGAGACAATGAATCATTAATTATTAATAATATTAGTTTTATTAGTGCCAAGTAATGAGTCAAAAGAAACTGTTCGACCAAATGGAATAAACACATAGAATACTCTAAAGAAAATCATGAGGAGCTAGATAATCACAGTGGGAAACTTAAAAGAGACTGAATTACTAAGCAGCAATAAAAAACTGAGTTTGTAATAGAGCCAACTGGCAGGGTTATGTGACTTCGCCCTGCATTAGACAGCAATTGATGAAAAGGATGGCTACTTGTCCTCAAGTGTAAAGTCTAGAGAATAGACCACAAAGAAAGCTAGAGAACTAAGGTTATTATGTAAAGTGTCATGGTCAAAATGAAAAACTAAAAATAAGCCAAGAATCAGAGAGGATCTTGTAAATGAACATCAGGTATTCTCTTTTCCTTTCATACTACACATACTTCAACTAGAGAAGCAATTGCTCTTAGTTCCAAAAAGTACTTGCTTTGTAGCAAATAAATATGATTCAGATTCCAGCTTAGATTTCAATTTTTTGAACGGAAACATTTTATATGCACATTCGATAGTCATATATTATCGGAAAGTTCCTACTTCAATGTAAGTTAAACATTAAAAAAAAAAAAAATTTAACATACCCTGATGGCAAAGTTTCTGTGTTGGCATTTCCAGACTGCTGCCGTACAGGTTCCATACACCCATCTGGCTGTCTTAATTTGGCTGCCTCAAAAGCAGAACTATTTCCAGAATTAGAAGTGTCAGGGTCTAATATACTTCTAGCTTCAGATCCCAATTCTGCACTGTTAGAAGGAATACATTCATTGTTTTCTGAGGAAGTCAGTATTTCTTGAACTGGAGGATCTTCAACAGTAGTACTAGTGCAATTTGAAGACAAGGCGTTTTCTTCAGACACTAATGGAGTACCCGTGGCGGAAGCAGTATCAGTTCGTGCAAATGAGGATGATTCTCCATTAACTGAGAAGTGAAAATCAGTAAGACAATCAAGTAATGACAAAGCAACCAATTACCAAATCAATCAATAATACTTAATCAGAGGGTAATTCAGACTGAGCACTATACCAGGTACTGACGAATATAAAATAAAGTGGACACTCTATTTTTTTCTTGCTTAAATTTTAGGGACAAATATGTAAATAACAAAAATTTTAGTATATACTAATAACCTTAAGGAAAGAGAAACCAACATTAGGATAACAAACGTTTTACCTCCAAATTATCAATTCTGAGAGAAAGTCTGTATGGGCTATATAAAAACTTTAAAATGATTCCTTTCAATTTCCCTTCTCTTATGCAAAAGGTAGCTAATACCAAAAGAACTCTTTTGCCAAAAGTAGGAAATATATGATGCCATTAGTTTTTTTGTTTTTTGGTTTTTTTGCTTTTTTACAGAGACAGAGTCTTGCTCTGTTGCTCAGGCTAGAGTGCAGTGGCATCATCATATCTCACTATAACCTCAAACTCCTGGGCTCAAACAATCCTCCTGCCTTGGCCTCCCAAAGTACTAGAATTACAGGGGTGAGCCACTGTGCCCAGCCTGGTTCTTAAGATAGTACTACAGAGGATTGCAAAAAGATCCAGGAATTCATTCTATACTTTCTATGAAACAACCCCAGTACTGAGACCCAGTGATACAGTTTTTAAAATTTTCATTTTAAGTGCGATTGATCCAGTTCAATTATGTGTCCTATAAAAGTGAGTCAAATTAAAACTGTGAGGGGAATCGATTATTGAACAAAACCTCTAAGAAGACCACATATCAAAGTTTTAATGGAAATGGTGGAGGGAGACATAATTAGAGTAATGGAATCTTTCAGTATATTTTTAAAGAAAGAAAAAGATTTAAATGGTAGAAAGAAGAGAGTACTATTAAAGGAATTAAATAGTACATGCAAAAGACCAGATTAAATCAAGTTCTCTACCAAATATAGAGGCGAGAATGGCTTTGGAGAAATAAAAAAATCAACGATGAAATACAGTATAAAATATAATACTGACATTGTTAGACCCAACATTGTTAGACATCATGAAAAAATAAAAAGTATGCAGAGAAAGACTGAATTCTCTTGCCTCCTATATGATGTTTACTCACAAGCATTATCTCATTTAATTTTCACTCTTTCATAGTGCGGAAATTAGTTCACACGAAAGAAAGGATTGGCAGCAGTCTTTCTAAAGCAAAATAACACAAAATGGAAAAAGAGGGATACTGAGGAAAGATATAATCCAGACCAACCAGAAACAGACATGAACTTTTGTACACACTAAACTATAGTACATGAAACACAAACTGAATTGAACAGCAAGTGCTCTCAGCTCTTCCAGTCCATCATTTCTTACACAACTATTGCTATAGTCACTCCAGCTCAACACTGATGATTATATTTAACAATGCACCAAGACAAGAAAAGAAGTAAAAATATTGAAAAGAAAATGGTAAGATTCATCTGTAAAGAAAACAGTAAAAGGGCAAGATTATTTAGAACACATAAGAAAATCAATTAAAAAACCATTAGAACCAATTAATTAATTCAAACTAAACCACTTCAGCAAAATAACCACACACAAGTTCAACATCAAGATTACATTCAAGATCTATCTGAAGAAAACTAAAAAGCAATAAGAGGCATTTTAAAAATTAGAATACAGAAAGATATTGAAGTATCTCTGAATGGGAAGATTCAGCATTATTAAAATAATAATTAACTCTCCTTAAAATGCAAATGCTGGTAAGGATATGTAGAGCACCAGGAATTCCCATTCATTGCTGGTAGGAATCCAAGAGTACAACCACTTTGGAAGACAGTTTGGCAGGTTTCTGGGTTTTTTTGAAACAAACCTTAAGATACTCTCATGCAATCCACCAGTCTCAGTCTTTAACCCAACAGAATTAAAACCTTATGTCCACATAAAAGCCTGCACACTAATGTGTATAGCAGTTTTATTCATAATTGTCAAAAGTTGAAGCAACCAAGATGCTTCAATAAGCGAATGGATAAACAATTGTGGTACTTTCATACAATGTAATTTTATTTAGTGATAAAAACAAAAGAGATAACATGCTAAAAAGACATGAAGGAACCTGAAATGCACATTGTTAAATGAAAGAAGCCAATCTGAAAAAGTTACACACTGTAGGACTCCAACTATATGATGTGCTACAAAGGGCAAAACATCTTCGAAGATAGTAAAAAAAAACAGTGGTTGCTAGGGATGGGGTTTGGGTTTGGGGAAAGGGATAAACAGATGAAGCACAGAGGAATTCCAATATAAAATTATTCTGTATGATACTGTAATGGTGTGTACACAATATGCATTTCTCAAAACCTGCAGAACCGGTACCACACAAAGAATGAACCTTAACATAAGCTTTAGTTAATAATAATTTAGTAATAATGGTTCATTAATTGTAACAAATGTACCACAGTAATGCAAAATACTAATAATGGGGGAAACTCTGCACGAGGTCAGAGGGCATATATATGGGAACTCTGTACTATCTGCCCAATTTTTCTGTAAATCTAAAACTGTTCTAAAATATAAAGTCTATTAATTTTAAAAAGCTAGTTTAGAAACAAATTATTTCCATCCAATAATTCAACAAACATTTGTTATTCAATATTGGAAAGACTGTATTACGATACCACAGTAAGATCTTTGATTGAACAGATTACTGTTCATATACTTCAGTGGTTCTCAACCACTAGGGAAGATTCTGTGCCTCCAGAAGACATTTAGCAATGCCTGGAGATGCATTTGGTTGTCAAACTAGCGGGAGGGGAGATGTCACTGGTACCTAGTGGGTATAGGTCAGAAATACTCCTTAAATATCCTACAATGCATAGGACAACCCCCTAAAACAAAGAAATTATCTGGCCCCAAATGTCAATAGTGCTGAGGTTGAGAAATTCTGATATGTATATACACAGCCACCTGGCAGTGTTCAGCCTATGATAGCTGCAAAATAAACATCTGTTGACAAATGGATATAAGGATGATTGACAGAAAAATACCCACACACAAGAAAAAAAAAGTAGGAAAGGAGAGAGGAAGGAAAGGATTAGAGGCTCTCTGCACATGAAGGAATATAGAGCAAATAATTAAAATCTTACGTGATACGTATGATAGTGGAAACCAGTGCAAAAGCATCTCATCTCCTTCTCCATAAGATGTAAGACCACACCCACTGACTTCGTTTCTAAATGAATGTGTCCCAAGCCTCACTTTCAGCTACTGTGACTTCTGGGTTACATGACAGATCTCTACTACTTCACATTTAATCTTTGAGAAGTAAGTTTCCCATGAAATTTATGATATATCATCTCATAGCACCATGCATTTGTCCTCACTCTAACAGTTCATTCAAATAAAGTAGAAAAAAGTAGAAATGTTGGAGTATTTGAATAGCATTTTTACTCCATTTTAAAACCATGACATGAAAAATAATTGCTTGCATATATACAGTAAGTGTCTTTAAAAGCCAAGTCACACTTCGGAGGAGACATGGCTATAAAGAGGGGAGCATGAGAGAGCCTTATGTGACAATGCAATTCTGTAGCTTGACTGTGGTATCAGTTACATGAAGCCACATGTGTGACAAAACTCACAGAACTAAACACACACACAGAATGCAAGCAGAACTGGTGAAATGAGAACAAGCTCTGTGCATTACATCAATGTTCATTTCCTGATTTTGATATTCTACTACAATTACACAAGCTGTTAACACTAGGGGAGGCTGGTGAAGGGGGCATAGGACCTCTCTGTACATCTCTTTGCAACTTTCTGTTTATTTATAATTATTTCAGAATAAAAAGTTAAGAAGAAAAGTCTGATAAACCTGTGAAATCAGTTCTGTCTGAAATTTAACCATACTGAGCTCTGATCTAT